AGCATCGCTGTTTCGCTACTTAAGCTTTGGCACTTGGCTGGTTCATCGCAATCCTAGATAGAAAATCCTTCTTTCTTAGAATACTCGAGCTATGATGCCATAATGCTGCGTGGGGGGGAACATCATACAGAAGTAGTAGTCAGACAGCAAGGGAGTAATGGTTTGGCCCCACGCAGTTGCATCTGGTGCTAAATCTCCGGAAGTCAACGTTGGCCACTGGGAGGAAAAATGAGAGGTGGGTGGCAAGAGTGGCAAGATTTTTAAGTAAGAGAACGTTGTACATATTCACTTTGTTCTTATCTGGGCCAACGTATGTTACTGTTGAGAATACACAAGTCTTTGTTTTAAAAATTAGGAGCAAGGATAAAATTAGTTCAATCAAAATTGGAAATTCGGGGCTAGATTTTAAGTAATAAGTTCGAGTTTGGGTTTTTTCCTTAGAACATAGAATTTTTTGGGGGTGGGAGGGGATTTTTAGATCTCTATGTAGGTCAGAATTGTTTCCATCCTGGGAACCGAAAACATTGAAGTCTTGATGGCCACTACACCTCTGGGTGATTGGCTGGCACACTCTCACTTTTGGAAAGAAAAATATGTATTAGAGAGACCATGCCTTTGACGAAGGGGAAACCATTTGTTGTTTCCTACCAGGGTAAATTAGAAGCCCATACGGAATTTGCTTTAGGAACTGTACCTAACAACCACCTTTGTTTGCTGTAAAAAAACCACTAAAAGGTGTTGCTCATGGATCATCCGGCAAAGTCAAGCAACAAACTTAACCCGTTTTCTGCACGCCCAGGCCATTGTGGGTCCAATGATACACGCCCGCTTGCGGCAACAAAGGACTGAAAAAATATTTGCAAACAAAATGAATTGTCGGATGCTTAAACGGCACAGTCACACAAGCTAACTCATTTTTGATGCTCGACAAAAAACAGTGGGTCGCCTTGATACGCAAACCCAAGCGTATAGTTCTTGAATAGCACATTGCAAGGACGCCAACCATCTGCGACCACTTACTTTTCATGTCCTATCTGTACATCCATTACTGCGTTTGGAATAACTCGTTGATTTTTCACCACTGGAATTTAGATGTTCATTTCGAGTCCATAGCTATTCCTCTCCCTGGTGTTATGCTCCCTTTGGCTATGTTTGGTGTTCCAACATGGATTGGGGATTTGTCTGTGTCACATTGCATTCTCTACAATATTACCTGTCTGCTAAATCAATTAAGCAAAGAACCCCGTCCAGCTGGTAAAAGACAACTGATCATCTAAAGGATTTAGCATTTTAATGATATGATCGTGAGGACTTGAAAGTCCGTTTAAGAAATATAGTGGTTACTTGATTAATTCATGTCTGGTCTGAATTTCTTTTAGAATGGTATCAGCGATGTGAAATGTGTAAATGTACAAAGTTTCCATAAATCTCATGGAGCACCTGTGTAGTGTACCTTGGGTGGCAGTGAGATGTGGTTAAAAACACCTCCGTTCCCATGACTTTCATGATATCACACCCTGAGTTTCTCTCGCTTTTCATTCAGCCTGGCCTTCTCCATCTCCTTAACTGATTTCTCTTCCCAGTCTTCAAATGGCGTTGCTCCTTGAACTCGGTCTGGGGTCCTCTCTGCTCCACACAGACTCCTGGGGCCATCTCTGATGGCACAGCTTTAAACACTGTCTGTATGCTGAGTTCAACTTGAGCTTGACACTGCAGTTTCTATCCTGTCCTGATCCCTCCTAAGGTTGAGACTGGATTTCTGTCCCATTGTATGGCTGACATCTCTGCTTGGCTGTTTCCCGGGCCACAAACCCTCCGTGTATTCCAACTGGCCTGAGAGGCAGGATGGCAAGTTGGTGAGACATCTCGGCTTTGAAATCACTTACCTCTGGGTTTTCCTCCAGGTTCTGCCACTTGGTGCTCTAGATTCCAGAGCTGGTTATTTAACCTCTCTCTGTGCCTCAGGTTCCTCTTCTGTAAACAGGAGATAATGTCAGTGTCTCATGTCACGGTTGTGTGAGGATTAAAATTCAGTGAGAAGAATGCATGTAAATGACTTAGCACAGCGGCGGGTGCATCCTCAGGGCACAGTACATGATGCTGATAAGCTCGCCACCCCTGTGGTCAAGGGGGCTGCCCAGGTGTCTGACTTGAGGGTGGTGTCTGTTACTGAGATGGGGAAGACTAGGAGAGGAACAGGGCAGGGAGGAAGATGGGGGAGTATTAGTTTTCTGAGGCTGTCATACAAATTACTACCAACTTGGTGGCTTATAGCACCAGAAATGTATTGACCACAATTCTGGAGGCCAATTCTGCTCCCTCTAAAGGTTCCAGGGGAGAATCTATTCCTTGCCTCTTCTAGCATGGGATGGCTGCCCCAGCCTTCCTGGGCTTACAGCCACATCACTCCAGTCTCTTCTTCCGTCATCACATGACCCTCTCTTGCTCTGTGTTTCTGTGTCTCCTCCTTTCTCTTCGAATGACACTTGTGATGACATTTAGGGTCCACCTGAAATAATCCTGGATCCTTAAATACATCTGCAAAGACCCTCTTTTCAATTAATCTTGGAAGCCTTAAGCACATCTGCAAATCTCAGGATCCTTAAACATCTGCAAAGACCTCTTCAAATAAGGTCACATTCACCATTGCCAGTAGATGTCTTTGGCGGGGCCACTTTTCAGCCTACCCTAGGGAGGCATCCCTCAGTGAGGTCCCCTTGCTCCCCACATCTGGATCATTACCTGTGTCCGTCTTCTACATCTCTGCCTCCTTCCTGTCACCACCATATCCCAAGGAATTACAAAATGTGAGAAAAGCTGTATCGGTGGAGGCCATCTTCAGACTAGTCAACAGGGTGAGGGCAGTTCATTGTGTTTTGTCCCATGCAGGAGAGATAGAGACAGGACACTAAATTATATATCTAGAATAATTTTAACTATGGCAGTATATGTGTCTAGGAAACAGACAGAGTATTTTTAGGTCTCCATTAGTTCTTTATAAGATTATGTCATATGCAAATCACGATAATGTGACTTGTTCCTTTCCAATCTGGCTGCCTTTCATATCTTCTTCTTGCATTGGTATTACATTGGTTGATTTTTGTATGTTGAACCACTATAGTGGATTGAAAAATGTCTCCCAAAAGTTTGTCCAACTGGAACCTCAGAATGTGACCTTATTTAGCAATAGGATCTTTGCAGATGTATTAATTATGATGAGGTCATCTTGGAGTAGGGTAGGCCCTAAATCCAGTGCCTAGTGTCCGTATAAGAAAGCCACATAGAGACATAGGCACACACAGAAGGAAGATGGTTATGTGGCAATAGAGGCAGATATTTAAATGATGCAGCTAGACGCTGAGGAGTGCCAAGGACTTCCAGCAACCACCAGAAGCTAAGAGAGAGACATGGAACAGATTCTTTCCTATACCTTCCTAAAGGAACCAACTCTGCCAGCACCCTGATCTCGGACTCTCAGCCTCCAGAACTGTGAGAGAATAAATTTTATGTTGTTTTAAGTCCCCCAGTTTGTGATAGCACCCCTAGGAAGCTAATAAAACCTCCTTACATTCCTGGGATAAATCCCACCTGTTCATGGTATGTAATCAGTCCCCTTCATATACTCTTGGATTGGGTTTGCTAGTATTTTGTTGAGGATATTTGCATGTATTGTCATAAGGGATGTTAATCTGTGGTTTTCTCTTCTTATGATATATCTGTCTAGTTTGATATCAGGATACTGCTAGCCTCATGGAATGAATTAGGAAGTATGCTCCCCTCTTCTAGTTCTTGGACGACCCATCATCTCTTACCTCACCTACAGCAGGAGCCTTGAAATTGGTGTCTGCCTCACACCCTGCAATCTCATCTCCACATTATGACCAGAGTGATCTTTAAAAAAAAAAAAAAAAAAAAGTGTTACTATTTCAATTGATAAATGAATTGTATATATTTATGGTGTACAACGTGGTATTTTGATATATGTACACATTGTAGAATGGCTAAATCAAGCTAATTAACACACCATTTTTTGTAGTGAGAATACTTAAAATCTACTCTCAGCAATTTTCAAATACACACTACATTGTTATTGACTGTAGTCACCATGTTGTACAGAGTGATTTTCTCAGTGGACAGCTCTGTGCACATCCCTCAGAGCCGCAAGGCAGTGATATCCAGGTTCCTGAACAGGGTCTCCAAAACCCTCCACCCACTGGTCCTTTCCTTCCTGTCTCACCACATCTCCCAGGTCCATGTCTCAGCTATGTGAGGTCCTTTCCAGTTCCGTAAGCACATCCCAGTGTTAGATCAGAGATATGTTGCAGTCCTAACTCCAAGTACCCATAAATGTGGCTGTATTTCACAATAGGGTCTTTGCAAATGTAATTAAGTTAGGATGTGGTCATAGTGAATTGGGGGGTGGGGGTTAAGCCAAATGACTGTGTCCTTAGAAGAAGAGGAGAAGAGATAGACACCGACAAAGGAGAGAAGGTCAGGTGGAAATGGAGGCAGAGATTAGAATGATGTGTGTATAAGCCAAGAACACCCGGGGCTATCGGAACCCGGGAGAGCCAAGGAAGGATCCTCCCCTAGAGTGTTCGGAGGAAGCATGGCACTGCCAATACCTTGAATTCAGACTTCCAGCCTCCAGAACTAGGAGAGAATAAACTTCTGTGGTTTTAAGCCACTGAGTTTGTGGTTCTTTTTCCAGCAGCCCTAGGAAACTCATATAAGGATATAGGAGGTTTATTTACAAATGAGTTTGTTGCTTCTTTAGTGGTGTGTATCTCATAGCACTAGAAAGAATAGAAAAGTTAATTCCAGATAATGTGATGTATCTCTTTTGTTTTTCATAGACAAAGGGTGGAGGATATGAAAGTGAAAGTGCTTACCCAAACGCAGAACTTGTGTTCTTGGAGATCCACAACATTCATGTCATGCGAGAGTCACTACGCAAATTAAAAGAGATTGTGTACCCTTCAATCGATGAGGCACGGTGGCTCTCCAATGTGGATGGGACGCATTGGCTGGAATATATAAGGGTAAAGAGATCCAGTACTTTATATGCTTTCCAGTTAAGACTTCTTTGTGCCTGTGCCATAAATACGTATATCTCCAAGTGGTTTTTCAACATTGCAAATAAGTGCCTCTTGGCTGTGTGCATGAACTTTCTTATTAAGTAGTTTCCATGGGCAGCATCAGACTGGGATCTTTGTGGAGGACTTTTGTGACATAGTGAAAAGGGGAAAATGCTTGCCTTAGGTCAGGCTTTTAAAGAACTTTGTGGCCCTTTAATAAGGAACCATATTTACTCCTGTAGTTTTTCTCCAGTATAAGATTTTTTCTTTCTTCTTCTTCTTTTTTTTTTTAATGTGATGCTAATGTTTGCTAGTGATTCTCAGCTGATTGCATGCCATTCTTGTTTGGATTATTGACCAGAACTTCCAAAGCTCTCCCCAGAATTATTTTACATTGTTTTACATTTAATTGAAATTCAATGTAGCCTGATCTAATGTGCCTTTTTTTCTGAAGATGCTGCTTGCTGGGGCAGTAAGAATTGCTGATAAAATAGAATCCGGGAAAACATCTGTGGTGGTGCATTGCAGCGATGGTTGGGACCGAACAGCCCAGCTCACATCTCTGGCTATGCTAATGTTGGACAGTTACTACAGGACCATTAAAGGATTTGAAACTCTCGTAGAAAAGGAGTGGATAAGCTTTGGACACAGGTTTGCACTGGTAAGTTGAGACAGTGAGGTTTATGCTGGAATATTTTGCTGTATCATGGATGTAAACATCATGTGTGACACAAATAAGCGCGCACACACACACACACACACACACACACACGTGTGCAGGCTTTCTCTTCTGTATCATATCAGACCTGAATTGCCATAATAAAATACATGGACCTCAAGCATTGTATGTTCCTGGTAAGGCATTTTTATCTTAGTGTAGTTATGCCTTTTTTTAAAATTGAGATAAAATTCATATAATGTAGAATTAACCATTTAAAATGCTCAATTTGGTGTCCTTTAGTAGATTCACAATGTTATGTAACCATCACCTCTAGTTTCAAAACATACTCTGGCCAGGCGCAGTGGCTCACGCCTGTAATCCCAGCTCTTTGGGAGGCCCAGGCAGGCAGATCACCTGAGGTTGGGAGTTCGAGACCAGCCTAGCCAACATGGTGAAACCCCGTCTCTACTAAAAATACAAAAATTAGCTGGACATGTTGGCAGGTGCCTGTAGTCCCAGCTACTCAGGAGGCTGAGGCAGGATAATTGCTTGAACCTGGGAGGCAGAGGTTGCAGTGAGCCGAGATCGTGCCACTGCACTTCAGCCCGGGCAATAGAGCAAAACTCCGTCTCAAAAAACAACAACAACAACAACAACAAAACAAAACAAAAAACAAAAACAAAAAACCATACTCTTCACTTCAAAGGAAATGCTGTATACATTAAACAGTCATTCTTCACTTACCCCAGCCCCTGACAACCACTAATATTTCTGTCTTCATATACATTCACCTTTTCTAGGTACTTTATATAAGTGGAATCATACAGTGTCCTCCCATGACTGAGTTATTTCACTAAGCATAATATTTTCAAGGTTCAGCCATGTTGTGACAAAGAGCAAATTTTCATTATTTTTTATAGCTGAATAGTATTCCCTTGTGTGTATAGACCACATTTCGTTTATCTGTTCATCTGTTGATGGATGCTTGGGTTGTTTCCACCTTTGCTATTGTGAAGAATACTGCTGTGAATGTTAGTATATAGGTTTTCTGCCATAACAAGCTACCACAGACTGCATGGTTGAAACAACAGGAATTAATTTTCTCATAATTCTGGAGACTGGAAGTCCAAAATCAAGGTCCCAGCAGGATTGATTTCTCTTGAGGTCTCCCTTCTTTCCTGGCATATGGCCACCCTCTGGCTACCTCTTCACAAGGTTCTTTCTTCCCTTTGGGAGCTACTGGACACTCCTGCTGTGTCTCTGTGTGGCCAAATGTCCTCATTTCATAAGGATACCAGTGAGATTGGGGTAGGACCCACTTTAATGCCCTCATTTGAACTTAATCACCTCTTTAAAGGCCCTGTCTCCAAATATGGACACATTCCTGAGCTACTGAATGTTCAGGCCTCAATTTTGGGGATCACAATTCGGCCTATAACAACTTGCTTTCAACCTAGGGGGTTATATACCTAGGAGTGAAATTGTGAGGTCATCCAGTAGGGCATTCTTGGGCTGCCATTTGTGTTTTAGTCCAACTGGCAGCTACTTCTGGTCTGTCCAAGCCATTGAGCTGTTAGGGATCTGTCTGAACTGTGCATTGAATGGGAATACTCCTGAAGTCCCCATTAGACTTGCTGTGGAAAGCAGGAGGATGGGTAGTGCAAGGATTTCCTTGGCTTTGGTGTGAGTGTGCCAAGCTTCCAGCTGTCCCTGCACTCCTGGGGTGGAGCCCCTGCAAGAGGACCTCCCAGAGAGAAGGGGCAAGTCCGCAGTCTCTGAGCTGCATGCCCTTTGGGAGCTACTGGCAGATCCCTGGACATTTTCCTTCCCCTCTTTTGCCTTCATTCCCTCCTCTCTGAAATCGGGCATTTTGTGGGAGAAATGAGTTTATATGTGTCAAACGTTTAGGGCAATGCTTGGCCCATGCTAAGTGCCGGGGAAGTTTTAAACAACATCACCAACTCCTTTGTTTCTTCCCCCGCTCAGCAAAAGCTGGTCTCGGTAAGGAAGAGAGAGTGTGTGGAATCTTTCCTGATGTTTGTATTGGGCCATCTCAGAAGACTCAGAGGCCACTGCCTTCTACCTTCCTCCCCAAACTGTGTGTCCTAGGGGAGAGAAAGCTTGAACGGGTGCTTTGCCAGAGGGGCAGTGGTGAAGGCTACCTAGTGAGATGCCAGCGATGGCAGCATGCACTGGGACTGAGCAGAGGTGCACGCATCAGGGTGTGCCTACAGTCCTCTGCTCCCATGCCTACTTGCCATTGCTGGGGCTCACTGCACCATGGTCACAGTGAAGGCAATAGGACTATCAGATTCCTAATGGCCTCAATTTACTAAGCCACCACTATGTGTTTGGCACTGTTAACGTGCAGCATCTTGTTTAATCCTGATAGTAATATCATTGACAGATGGGGAAACTGAGGTTTCAAGAATGTGGGTTATCTGCCTAAAGTCACACAGCTAGTTAGGGTAGAGCCAGCCTTTAAACAGTGATTTCAAGCCTGCAACCACCCACCCTCTGGATCTGTGTACCCTACCTGGAGTTCTGTGAATAAGCCATCAGGGCTTCCAGCTGAGGCTGATCCTGCCCTTGCCCACTTGCCTCCATCATGGAACCTTCTAATTGTTCTTCCCTCTATCCTGCCTCCATTCCCCCCCTTCCCTAGATCATTCCCATTGGTGTAGAGACATTCTGTTATATCCTAAAAAAAAAAAAAAAAACCCTCTTGACCCCACAGCCCTCCTCAGGTGTCACCCTGATTTTCTGCTCTTCTTTACAACAATCTCCTCAAAACTGTTGTCTGTACTCACTGTCACTATTTCTCTCCTTCCAGACTGTCTTGAAAGCACTTCAGCCAGGATTCCTTCTCACAATGCCCCCCCCGCCCCAACCTGGTCTTGTCACAGTCATCACTTGTTTTATTTGGCCTGGGCATTCGATGCTGTTGATTCTTCCTTTCTTCCAAACACTTTCTTCATTAGACTTCTAGGTTTCTATGACCTTTTGAATTTCCCCCAACTTTCAGGTCTTCCCTCATCTTCCCAACCTCTTAATGTTGGGGTGTCCCAGGGATGAGTCCTTGGATCATTTTTCTTCTCTTTGTGGTTAACCTGTTAGTGATCTCAGCCAGTCTCACAACTTTGAATACATGGATAGCATATCTGTGATCTCATCTCCATTGCCCCTGATGCTCCCGCAACTTAGGCCTTATCAACCCCCTTAGGCAGTCTCCTAAGTGGCTGTCCTAGTCTGTTTGTGTTTTTACAAAGGAATACTTGAGGCTGGGTAATTTAGAGAGAAAAGAAATTTATTTGGCTCACGGTTCTGCAGGCTGTACAAGAAGCATGGTGCCGGCATCTGCTTCTGGTGAGGGCCTCAGGCTGCTTCACTCACGGTGGAAGGTAAAGGGGAGCCAGTGTGTAGAGATCACATGGTGAGAAAGGAAGCAAGAGAGAGGGGAGAGGGTGCCAGTCTGTTTGTAACAACCACCTCTCTCGGGAACTAACAGAGAACTCACTCACACACTCCCCCACCCAAGGAGGGATTAATTTATTTATGAGGGATCCACCCCCATGACCCAACATCTCCCATTAGGCTCCACCTCCAACATTGGGGATCAAATTTCAACATGAGGTTTAAGAGGACAAACATCCCAACAATAGCAGTAGCCTTTCTGCAACCTAGCTCTGTCTGATCCGTCGCCCCCACTGGAGCCAGATGGAGCATTCCAAACAACAGATCAGATGCTGCCACTCCCCAGTGTGAGTCCCTCAGCACCTTCCTGTAGCACACAGGATTATGAGCAAACTCCTAGTGTGTGCTCAAAGCCCTTGGTGATCTGGCCCTAGCTATATTTCCAGCCTCATCTCTCATCTTCTTTCCCTTGCCCCATGTAAGCCTCAGCTACTTGTGGCTTTCTTAGTGTCCCCCACCACATTCCCACTGGTTATCAATTCCTGGCTACCCGGGAAGCAGGCATCTTCCTGTTCTTCAAGGTTTATCTCAAATGAAATGTCCTTCATGACTATGACTCGCATGACTGTCCCTCCCTGTTCCTTCCCCTACCCCATCCTAGGATGGTTCACTCATTCCCTTGTGCTCCCACCATACCCACTACATACTTGGAAGCCCTTGGAACACTTTATTGCCCTTGTCATTTATACATCTTTGTCCCTTGACTAGACCACAAATGAATTGTTCATCAAGCACAAGTACAGTGTCTGATTTGCTTTAGTCTCCTAGGTGCCTAGCCAAGGACCTGGCCTCTACCAGACACCATGACAATGTTTGACATTCCGAGGGCCAGGCATGATGCCTTGCATATGCCATAGGAGTTCCATGGCTATCTGTTGAAAGAATGAATCCTAAATTGTGAACTGTCAGTGTAAAACAGTTCCCTAGGTGCCTTAAATACTGAACAGCAGGTCCTACAAGGATTTTATAGCGGGGCAATGCATGGAGCTACTATGGAGAACAGTATGGTGAATCCTCAAAAAATTAAACGTGGAACTACCACATGATCTGACAATTCCGCTGATGGGTATATACCCCAAAGAAGGGAAAGCAGGAACCCAAACAGATACGTGTACATTGGTGTCCATGGTAGCTTTATTCACAATAGCCTGAAGGTGGAAGCAACCCCAGTGTCCATCAGGAGATGAATGGATAAACAAAATGTGCTCTAGCTATACAGCCATGCGGTGTGTGACGATGAGGGTACATTCTGAGAAATGCATCATTAGGTGATTTTGTAATTGTGTGGACATGATAGAGTATACCTTCCAGAAACTTAGATGGAAAACTTGCTAACATCTAGGCTATATGGTACATACAGCCTATTACTCCTAGGCTGCAACCCTGTATGGCATGTGACTATACTGAATACCGTAGGCAACTGTAATACCGTGGTAAGTATTTCTGTATCTAAACATAGAAAAGGTACAGTAAAAATATGGTATTGTAACCTTATGGGACAACCATTGGATATACAGTCGTCATTGACTGAAACGTCGTTATGTGGCACATGATTATACAGTGCAATGTTAGTCTTAAAAAAGGAAATTCTGACATGTGCTGTAACATGGATGAACCTTGAAAACATGCTCAGCAAAATAAGCCAGCCACAAAGGACAAATATTTATTTTTCCACTTACATGAAGAACCTAGAATAATCAAATTCATAGAGACAGAAAGTAGAATGGTCATTGCCAGGGGCTAGAAGGTGGGGAATGGGGAGTTAGTGATTAATGGGTATAGAGTTTCTATTTGGAAAGATTAACAAGTTCTAGAAATGGTGATGATTGTATAATAACATGAGTGTGCTTGATGCCACTGAACTGGACACTTAAAAATGGTTAAGATGAGATTGGATGCAGTGGCTCATGCTCGTAATTCCCAGCACTTTGGGAGGCTGAGGTGGGAGGATCTCTTGAGGTCGGGAGTTAAAGACCAGCCTGGGCAGTATAGTGAGACCCCATCTCTACAAAATAATTAGCTGGGCATGGTGGCTCACACCTATAGTCCCAGCCACTCTGGAGGCTGAGGTGGGAGAATCACTCGAGCCCAGGAGTTAGAGGCTGCAGCAGGCTATGCTCGTGTCACTGCACTCCAGCCTGGGTGACAGAGCGAGCCCCTGTCTCTAAAACATAAAAATAATGGTTCAAATGATAAATTATATGTCATGTGTATTTCGCCACAATTAAATTTTTTTTTATAAAGAAGGCAATACACTATTACTCTGAGATGTTAATATTGATTTGGTCATTTCTTTGTTTTTGTGTCTTTCCAGGTGGCAATTTCATAGAGTATTTTTGCTCTTTCTATGTGATTGCTTTGTATTTTCTTAATGAGTTTTTTCCCCCACATCCTTTTGCTCATAGTCATATTATTTGAAGCTTCTCTTAGAATCCTCACCCTTCAGCTATCTTTTTACTTGTGGCATTTTCAGTGTTTTGGCAATTGTATTTATGTATTTGAGAATACTATCTTTTACCTTTTGGTATTAATCTATTGATAACTCATAAAGTATCAAAAGATATGAAATACAATACTGGACTGCCTTAAGCAAGGACCCTACCTTTACCATTTCAAGACTGAGTTCTTGGGGTTCTCTGAGTCATGAAGAATTGGTTAAAAGTTGTAGATTGTTAATCATTAATTATTTTGATTCTCAGACTTCCTGACATTTCTGAAAAATGGAAAAAATGTTTTTATACTTGTAGAGAAAATGGCATTCATAATGTACTTTATGAACTGCTAATTGGCATCCTACGTTGACACTGTACACTTAGGGTGGTGGCTGGTCTTGACCCTACCATTTTAACTGAAGTTTGCTAGCTAGTTGCTTATACTTTGTTGATATGAACTATATTAAAGAGAAATTATAAAACAATCAACATGTACAAATGCTGTAAACTGAAATTTTGTTTTCTAAAAGTAATGGAAGTCATTTCGATTTGATAGACATTTTTGAGTGCCTGTTACGTGCCGGGAATTCTATTAGGCCCGATGAAACATGATTCTTACCACTGGACAACTTACAGTGACTTTCAAGAGGACCATAACATAGGTTAAAACGTTTAACCTTCTGTTTCTTTTCAGCGAGTGGGCCATGGTAATGACAACCATGCTGATGCTGACCGATCTCCTATATTTCTGCAGTTTATTGATTGTGTTTGGCAAATGACAAGACAGGTAAGAGATTTCAAATATATTTCTATATAGTCTTTGCTTTAAATATATCTTAAAGATTAAACTATTATCGCTGTTTCATTCAAAATGAATTTGTGTAAAATATGACCCCATTATTTAACACAATTTGATTCTAATTCACTTAGAAATATAAGCAGAACATTAGAAACAACCAATTTCACACCAAAAGTTACTTCTCTTTGCAAATGGTTTTTATCAGTCATCTGGTCCACTGGGTCCAAACCAAGGCCATACTCCTCTATAGATTCTGCTGCTTTTGCTCCCTTTCAGAAGGTTAAGGAAGTACAGTCTCCTGCTGAGCAGTTCATCTAAGATTTGGCCAGATGTTAGAAATGAGGATGGGAATGAACTGCTAGTACATGGGATTAGACCAGGCAATCCAGGAATCTCCACACTCTGCCCCAGTCCAGAGCCTCTCCCACCCGCAAGATCACTGAGGGAAATGAGTGTCCAAAAACCAATGGCACAGAGGAGGCTGCATAGCATTTTGCTGTTAGCTGGTGCGAAGTTCCCAAACCCCAACACACAGGGCCCTGGTAAACGAGGGAGCCATCTAGGGATCCCCTTCCCTTGAGCTGATCAGGCCCATTGGCTTCAGTTCAAAGTAGGTCATAAGGCCATAGTTCCTGCACTGTTTTTGTTTTTGTTTTTTTGCTGTTGTTGTTGTTATTGTTGTTGTTTTCCCCCTCATCTCCAACATCTAAACCTGAGTTTGGTCTCCTATCCTTATGATAAGAGACAGTGCCAGGGCAATGGACCTGGAACCGGAGAGAGAGACAGGCAAAAGAGAGTAGTTTCCCCAGTGCCTGCTGCCCAGCCTGGCTGAGGGTGGGGCTGTGGGGTACAGAACAAGTTAGGGGGCTGAGATCCAGGGTCTGGGCCTTCTCCTGCTGGTCATTCACCAGGAGCTCTGGCCTTGGCTGCTTCAGTCATGGGGAAGGGAAGCAGCCAGGACACTGCCGGTGATCTGCAGGGTTTCTACCAACAGCCCTGCTGCTCTTGATTGATTCTCCTGCAGCCTTATCACCATCAGCCATCTGCCTCCCTAGTGCAGAAAGTCTGTGAAATACTAGGCCTGTTTCCCCACTGAGAGCTACTGTTACTGATGGCAGTGTGCTTTGGGGCAGAAAGAAGGTTGACAGTCACGATGCTGCCTGTGCTGTCCCGCTCCCCAGCAGCTCTGCCCTGAGGAGGACCTGGAGAACTCAGAAGATGGCTCTCCACCTTGAGTGCACACAGCCAGCCCCTGGGAACCTTCTTCCTGTGATCCTGGGGACAGGCTCAGGTGTGTGTAAAAGTTCCCCAGGTGATTCAGATGTGCAATCGAGTTTGAGAACCAGTGATCTAGCTTAGTGCTCCAAATGTGGTCCTGAGAACTTGTTAGAGACACCAATCTTCAGCCTCACTGACGACCTGCCAGTGCTCTGGGTGTGGGACCCAGCCCTCTGGTTCCACAAACCCTTCTGGGGGCTGATGGATGCTCAACTTTGAGACCATTGCTGTAGACTAACACTGCTCAAACCTTAAAGAGCACACAAATCCCCTGGGGCTGTTATTGAAATGCAGATTCTGATTCAGTGGGACTGGGGCAGAGCCTGAGATGTCACATTTCTGATAAGCTCTCAGGTGATGCCAGCGGGTCACAGATCACATTTTCAGTGGCAAGGGAGCACAGAGACATACCTTTAGAAATAAGGAACAAAGGGGAGGGGGTCTGAATAGCCAAAGCAGATTTCATGGAGTCCTCAGGCCCTCACTTAGAAATTAACACTGACTTTTACACCCAGCTTCAACAAACTAATTGGGGTCTTACATGGTCTGATGGCCAGGTCACAGGTGATTAAAGATGGCCTGTTAGAGAGCTGGCCTGGGTAAGAGGGGCTGGTCCCAGAGGTAGGTATGCTGATGGTGCAGGTGAAAGGGCAGCAAACACACTCCACAAGCACAAAGGCTGGCCTGAAGCCTTACTGTTTTTTAGTGCCAGGCACTATTGCTAGTTGTGTTGATGCTGAGCCAGTAACAAAATTAAATGATTGTCATGTTCAGGTTAGGACAAGAAAGTATGAAACACATTTTAGAAAAATTGCATAAAAAGGTTGAACACAAAAAATGATTGCAGTGTTTCTAAAGGGATAAGCACCATTTTTGTGGATGTGAAATAGCTTATTCCTCCCAAATGTGGATTTTTTAACATCTTCAAACTGACCTCCATTCTTTACACTGCTTAGTGCCTGTTTTCATGTCTAAGCCATGTCATTTTTGTGCTTTTATTGGATTTTAAGAAAATAAGGGATTTGAATTGAAAAAAAAAAGGGGACTGGGGCAGAGTGTAGAGATTCCTGGATTGCCTGGTCTAATCCCATGTACTAGCAGTTCATTCCCATCCTCATTTCTAACATCTGGCCAAATCTTAGATGAACTGCTCAGCAGGAGACTGTACTTCCTTAACCTTCTGAAAGGGAGCAAAAGCAGCAGAATCTATAGAGGAGTAGGGCCTTGGTTTGGACCTAGTGGACAAACCTCTCACAGCTCTAACATTCTGACTGTGAAATGTGTGTATAATTAATTTCTTTTAAAATTACATTGTTAATGCATTAGCAGAGACATCAATGATTAGTCTTTATCAGTTCATTAACAAATGAATGAGATATATAGCAGGTATAAGATGCATTCATATGAAAGATTATATTTAGGTTGCCTACTGTAACGTAAACTATGCAGTGTAAAATTGTCAGAAATAGCAGAATAAAATGAACTGAATAGTCTGTAAGTGAACAAAGAAACTAAGGGAAAAATAATTGAGGGACTCTTTAGAGAAGATTCCCAAAGACACTCTGTGATATCCATAGTTTAATACAATCCTTACTCTTATGGATAGGTTTAATAGTCATTGATATTTTTGTTGAGCCTCAAGAAGTGCAGAATTGGGGCCAGGTATGGTGGTTCACGCCTATACTCTCAGCAATGCAGGAGGCTGAGGTGGGAGGATTGCTTGCTTGAGGCCAGGAGTTCAAGACCAGCCTGGGCAACATAGTGAAACCCCCATCTCTTCAAAAAACAAAAATTAAAAAAATAGCCAGGGGGCGGAGCAAGATGGCCAAATAGGAACAGCTCCA